TTTTACATCACAGAAAGCTGACATTTTAACAGGGGTGTGTAGACTTTTTATATCCACTGTATACTGTATATAAAGTTTGGATGAGGAAGCTAGGCTGAAGTGACAAACTGTTTGTAGCACAGGTATATAGCAATACCGAGCAACTACACAGTCTCAAAATATAGTTAGGTGCATTACCTGAGCACAGCTTCAGTTAGCGGGGGTACTGTCCTTTCCTTAGATACCCAGGATCCTTTTGGCAGTCCATGCCTTTGTACCGATTACCGGAGTCTATGTTGTGAAGAAGGAGCCTGCCTTAAATTATTCTTCTTCTCCTGGAATCTAGCCCTGTGCTAGGTCCTTTCCCTCTCAAGCAGGTTCCTATCCTTGTCCATCCACTCACCAGAAGCACACCAAAATGACATTGGATCCCTTATTTAAAAGGTTCACTCATCCAAGATGGCCACCAATGTCCCTTGTGATTTCCATGTACAATCAGATAACCTCTTTCAAGGTACTGAACAGAGTCTCTAGGGGCTCTTTAACCACTTTCCGTCCATCTGCCTGCAATGTACTGCGAGTGGACAGCAGCTACAGGACCAGCGGTGTACCTGAGCAGGAGTGCAAAACATCGGCTGTGTCCTCCAGACATGGCGGAATGCGGATCCTGGTAATCGGGACCCGGAGATCATGTGATCGCTATGCTATCACTTTATCACAATGACAGCAAAGCGGTTATGAATCCTTGTGATTCATAACAGCTTTGCTTCTGTTCCTGGAGAGCTATGATTGGCCCACAGCTCTCACATGGTACATGGGGCCCAATTACAGCACCCTGTACCATGTAACCAGCTGGAGTCAATCCCAGATCACTGTATTGTGAATTGTCATGAACTTAACCCATTTATGACAGTTCAAAGTAAACCTAATCTTTCTGCAATGCAAAGTGTAAAAAAAAATCCCTGATCACCCCCATATAGTACAATGTTACTATGGTAACATTGTACTACTCTGATGAAAGTATTACAAAAAAAATTGTAGAATAAGGGGGGGTGTTTGTACTATTCTGGCATTTTAGGGCCTCCAAAACTGTGATAGGTAGTGGGGAAGTGACATGAGGAAATATTCCCTTTGAAAGCCTGGAGGTGGTCATTGGATTTTCAGGGCCTGTATGTAGCTATGCTGCCAAAATGTCTTTCACGTGTGGTATCCCCATATTCGGGAGAAGAAGCAGAATGTGTTTTAGGGTGTTATTCCACACACACTATATTGCCAAAAGTATTGGGACGCCTGCCGTTACACGCACATGAACTTTAATGGCATCCCAGTCTTAGTCCGTAGGGTTCAATATTGAGTTTGTTCCGCCCTTTGCAGCTATAACAGCTTCAACTCTTCTGAGAAGGCTGTCCACAAGGTTTAGGAGTGTGTCTATGGGAAGGTTTGACCATTCTTCCAGAAGAGCATTTGTGAGGTCAGGCACTGATGTCGGATGAGAAGGCCTGGCTCACAGCCTCCACTCTAATTCATCCCAAAGGTGTTCTATCGGGTTGAGGTCAGGACTCTGTGCAGACCAGTCATGTTCCTCCACCCCAAACTCACTCATCCATGTCTTTTATGGACCTTGCTTTGTGCACTGGTGCGCAGTCATGTTGGAACAGGAAGGGGCCATCCCCAAACTGTTCCCACAAATTTGGGAGCATGAAATTCTACAAAATGTCTTGGTATGCTGAGGCCTTAAGTGTTCCCTTCACTGGAACTAAGGGGCCAAGCCCAACCCCTGAAAAACAACCCCACACCATAATCCCCTCTTCACCAAACTTTACACTTGGCACAATGCAGTCAGGCAAGTAGCGTTCTCCTGGCAACTACCAAACCCAGACACGTCCATCAGATTTCCAGACAGAGAAGCATGATTCCTCACTCCAGAGAACACGTCTTCACTGCTCTAGAGTCCAGTGGCATCATGCTTTACACCACTGGATCCACCGCTTTGCATTGCACTTGGTGATGTAAGGCTTAGATACAGCTACTCAGCCATAGAAACCTATTCCATGAACCTCTCTACGCACTGTTGTTGTGCTAATCTGAAGGCCACATGAAGTTTGAAGGTCTTTAGCTATTGACTCTGCAGACAGTTGGCGACTTCTGCGCACTGTGTGCTTCAGCATGCGCTGACTCCACTCTGTCATTTTACGTGGCCTACCACTTTGTGGCTGAGTTGCTGTTGTTCCCATTTGCTTCCACTTTGTTATAATACCACTAACAGTTGACTGTGGAATATTTAGTAGCAAGGAAACTTCACAGATGGACTTATTGCACAGATGGCAACCTATCACGGTACCACACTTGAATTTACTGAGCTCCTGAGAGCGACCCATTCTTTCACAAATGTTTGTAGAAGCAGTCTGCATGCCTAGGTGCTTGATTTTATACACCTGTGGCCATGGAGGTGATTGGAACACCTGAATCCAATGATATAACCACTTCCAGTCCGGACACTTTTACCCCCTTCCTGTCCAGGCCAATTTTCAGCTTTCAGTGCTGTCACACTTTGAATGCCAATTGCGCGGTCATGCAACACTGTACCCATATGAGTTTTTTTTTTGCATTTTTTTTGAGACAGATAAAGCTTTATTTTGGTGTTATTTATTTACCACTTGGATTTTTATTTTTTTTTGCTATGTAAATGAAAAAGTCCAAAAATTTTGAAAAAAAAAAAAGTGTTTTTCTTATAAAATTTTGCAAATAAATAGTATTTCATTATAAATCTTAACCCAAATTAGTTTATAACAAAAAAATATAATTTTTAAACATGTTTTTTACATTTTTTTTATATTATTATTTATGTTTTTTTTTTTTTTTACATACTGTCAACCTAGCAGTACAGTGTCACCATGGTACTACTTGTGGGGGGTGATGAAGATTTTTTTTTCACACTGATTGCTTTTACACCCATAAAGGCAGTAAAAGCAATTATTTCTCCTTCTCTCTGTCTGCATTCTTGCAGCCATTGAGAACTACTGTGTGAGCTGTGATTGGTCACAGCTTGTCACATGGTACAAGGCTGTTGTGAATAGCCTTGTACCATGTGACCTCTGTGATCATTCACAGATTTCACACGTAGTAACCAATGATGTCAGAAGTGACATCTTGCTTACTACTCTGCATGTGATCACTGATTGGCCAATCAGTGATCACATGATCGGGACCTCACACAGAGGTCCCGTCCGACGATCGGTGTTCCACTGTGTCCGGAGGACACAGCCGGCACTGGATCGTGGTGCTGCGCGCTCCCAGGGAGCGCGCAAAAGCAGGGTGCAAGGAGGCCATTTATAAACGGCCACCCAACCCTGCACTGCCACCGTCCGGCCGTTTATATACAACGGCCAGACGGGAAGTGGTTAAAGGGGTATCCCAATACTTTTGCCAATATAGTGTATATCCATAGCATGCAGGAGCAATATATCATTTGCGTGACAACTTTGTGTAAAAAAAATATATATATAATTTTACAAAAATTTCCTAAAAAGACATGTAGTAGAATACATTTTGGCCTAAGTTTACGACTAAATTTGAGTTTAATGGATATTTTTTATAGCCCAAAGTAAAAAATATAATTTTTTTTTTTCAAAAGTTTTGTTCTTTTTTCATTTATATCGAGGTATACGGCCGGTGACAGATCACGCCGCAGAGTGGCCCTGCTCTCAGGCGCACTGTGCATACCTGAAAGGATGCCATATGGCGTCCACCCGGAGGGATGAGCTGCTCGCCCGGCCGCCATCTGGCTGTAGACCGGGCGGCAACTGGTTAAAGGTGGAAAAAGTTCTGAAATGATTTATCTTTGTCTCATCTTTTACATCACCTGACATTATAACAGGGGTATGTAGACTTTTTATATCCACTGTAAATAGTCTATATCCTGTGCTGTTCAAATGTAAATTGATTTTTAATGGAAAATACCGCATTTGGCAACTAGGTGGAGTCAAAGACTAAGAAATTCCTGTAATACCTAGCTTCACCTAGTGGCCAAATGTGGTATTTTCCATTAAAAATCAATTTACATTTGAACAGCACAGGATTTATCCTATTTACTCCCTTTTTGCCCCAGTCACACTGAATGAATATACTTTCATTGGGTGAATTGCTATGCAAATTCTTTATAAAATACACCTCAGAGTTTCATAGGATACACTTGGCTCCTGAGCATGGCTATACCCAGGCTGCATTTTGATAAAATATTGAAAGCTTGTTTGGGTTTTAAGGCTTTTAAACCTGAATCCAGTGTATTCAGTATATAGACACCTAATTTCTATTGTTCTCCTTAGACACTATGCAGTCGTCTTCCCCTCAGAGTTGCGCTCTGACCATCTTGAAAAGGTCTGTATACAACTGGAGGGAGCACAGGGAGAGAGTCGAGTAGAGATATCACTAAATCTGGAAAATGAGAACACCACCCTTGCAGAGAAGACCTTCCAAGACACCACATTCACATGCATCCAAATACAGGTAAAATCCCCCGCAAAGAGAATAAAGGAAACCATGTGTGCGTGTCTTATTGGATGTTCGGTAAGACGGATAGTGGCATTTTCTTCTCTTATCTGCTCACTCCCTTTGGTTTTTGGAAACAAATACCTTTTTCAAGATACTATGGCCTCACCGTTGCTTTGAGTCCTAAGATACACATACCTCCAATCTTAGATGAAAATGAGGAGCTCCTTTTAGCTTTTTCCTTGCCAGGCCCTGCACTCCACTTACAAAGGTTGTAAACCTCTGACATGAAAAATGAACAAAGCATATCCCTCTATAGCAGCGGTTCTCAACCTGTGGGTCGCGACCCCTTTGGGGGTCGAACAACCCTTTCACAGGGGTCTCCTAAGACCATTGGAAAACACATATTTCCGATGGTCTTAGGAACCGAGAAACCGCTTTGCTATCAGTCTCCAGGCGGGTCCGCCCACATGCAGATACGTCCACATTTCCCTGGACTGCGATGTGTGCGCAGGATGACATGCCGCCCCTGTCATCTAGCCACATCCCTGGGATCACTCAACAGCTCCGCCTCCTCGCCAGTGATTGGCCGCCGGAACTGTAGCTCAGGAGAGGCACACAGGCGGCCAATCACCGGCGAGGAGGTGGAGCTTGGAGAGGTGGAGCCGAGCAGCAGCGCGAAGATCAAAGAAGATTTAGCGAGGGAGCCGCCGGAGAAGGAAGACAGCTGACAGGTAAGTGTCTGTAGCGTGCAGATGGTGCTGCTGCAGCCAGGTATGCTGGCTGTAGAAGGGAGAGGGAGGGAGCGAGCCCAGGCTGGAGCAGGAGTCAGCAAGGTAAGTATCATTGGTGTCAGTGGGAGGAATAGTGCCCCATCATTGTTGTCACTAATACCAATGATGGGGCACTATTCCTCCCACTGACACCAATGATGGGGCACTATTCCCTTCCCCCCCCACTGACACCAACGACGGGGAACTATTCCTCCCCCCACTGACACCAACGATGGGGCACTATTCCTCCCCCCACTGACACCATCGATGGGACACTATTCCTCCCCACTGACACCAATGATGGGGCACAATTCCCCCCCACACTAGTATCAATGATGGGGCACTATTCCCCCCCCCCCCCACTGACACCAATGATGGGGCACTATTCCTCCCACACTGACACCAATGATGGGGCACTATTCCTCCCATACTGACACCAATGATGGGGCACTATTCCTCCCACTGATACCAACGATGGGACACTATTCCTCTCACTGACACCAATGATGTGGCACTACTCCTCCCACTGCAAAATTACAGTTATGAAGTAGCAACGAAAATAATTTTGTGGTTGGGGGTCACCACAACATGAGGAACTGTATTAAAGGGTCGCGGCATTAGGAAGGTTGAGAACCACTGCTCTATAGTGTGTACTTGCTCAAGTGTTGTTCCTCTCTGCTATCCACTTCTGACAGGCTACATCTTGCCAGAGATGGATCTAAACTTCCAGCAGGCAGACTTGATAGTATATTCAACATCTTTAAAATGGGGTTTTAGGAAATTTTTAATTTCATCAGCACCTGCAGCCAATCAGCTGCAATGCTGATTAGTGTGTTCAGACAGTGTAGGAGTCTTTGCTGTCAGAACACAACAGCAGAATGGGGAGAAATCCTCCTCGATTGTGTGGATAGGGATTTTTCTTTATCAGTCTGACAGCTGATTGAAAAAACAATGATCCATTTATAGCCAGCTTAACTCGACACCACACAATACTAGGTAATGGCCCTGCCTCCCCTCCAGCACACAGCAAGTGGTTGACACCCTCAGCTGTGCATGTTTTCCTATGAGAGTGGGTGGAAGGGGTTTGTATATTCCTCAAACTCAGGTCTCAGATTACACTCAGCTCTCCTCACTATGCTGTGCAGTGTGTGACATCAGGTCCCCACCCCCGCCTCTGTAGCTGAGAAAGAGCCTTTTATCTGTGTTTTAGGAGGATGTTGTGGGGAGAGGGTTGCAGATAAAAAGGTACTTTGTAGGAGGATTTGTGTCATCTCTGTGCATCCTCTGAGGCCAGTCACTTCACTGTGTATATGTAAGGGTTTACAGCTTTAACCTCAGGGGCCAGACCATTTTTGCCATTTTAAATATTTTGCAAATACAAAATTGTAGATCTATAAATTTTACCTAAAAGAGCATCAGCTGTGGAGGAAAGAGGGACACATGGATCTGAGTAAATAGGAACACTTGGGACCTAAAGAGCTATGTGTGTTCAGAGCTGATGTTTAATTTGCTTAGATTTCACCTTCCTGGATTCTTCATTTCCCCCCTCATCAGTGTGATTGTGAAAGCTTTTAAATAAAAAGTTTCAGTTTTCACACTTCACACCCAATGGTGACACTACTAGATCTCTGTGCTTCTCTATGCAATGCAGACAGATTTCTGAAAACATCCCAACACCCTGCCTCAGTATTTCTCTCAAGAGCCCTCAGCCCTGATGCGAGCAAGACTAGCTTTCAAGAGAAGTTTTGAAAATAACAAAATGCCTTAATGAGTGGATGTGGATGAGTGGATGGAGCCATACAAAGCAGTGTGCTTACAGTTGAAAGTGTGCTTACAGTGTGAAACAGCACACAGTTAACCCTTTAATCGCCCCACATGTTGACCCCTTCCTGCCCAGTGCCATTAGTACAGTGTCAGCGCTTTTTATTATCTCTGATCACTGTACTGGTGTTATTGGAGATGTCAGTGACACCAAGTCAGTTCCCCCCAATGTTAGAATGCCCGCCGCAGTCCCGCTCAGGGGCGGACTGACCATTTGGAAAATAGGGCACTGCCCGAGGGCCCGGGGTCAGTAGGGGGCCCCATGAGATGCCCCTGGTACCTTTTTCATAGGCTTTTCTGAGTTTGGGCAAGGACACAGGGGCCCCATGATCCCCTATTGCCCAGGGGCCCCATGAGTTGTCAGTCCGCCCCTGGTCCCGCTATAAGTCGCTGATTGCCACCACTACTAGTATAAAATAGAAAAAGATTCCAGTATAAATACCGCCATTTGTAGATGCTATAACTTTCATGTAAACCAAATAGTTTACACGTATTGGGATTTTTTTTTTTAGCAAAGACATGAAGCAGAATACATTTTGGCCTAAATGTATGACGAAATTTGATTTCTTACATTTTTTTATTGGACATATTTAATAGCAAAAACTCAAAAATATAGTTTTTTTCTCAATTTTTTTTTTATAGTGCAAAAAATAAAAAACGCACAGGTGATCAAATACCACTGAAAAAAGCTCTATTTGTGGGGGAAAAAAAGAGGCTGTAAATTTAATTTGGGTGCAGTGCTGCATGACCACGTAATTGTCAGTTAAAGTAACGCAGCGCTGTAATGCAAAAAAAATGGCCTGGTCAGGAAGGGGGGTAAATCGTCAGGAGGGCAAGGGGTTAAAGTTAAGCATGGAGAATAATTTATAATCAAATAGTAGTTTTTCTCTTTTATTCTATAGGTTCCTAATTCTAACCACGAGGAACAAGGTGTGGTTGCCACATTGGTAGCTGTGATTCAGAATGCAGGGGAAACCATAAGAAAGAGTGCAAAAGTCCTCCTAAAGAAGGCAAAATCTGGGCTTCTCATCCAGACAGACAAAGCGGTGTACAAACCAGGACAAATAGGTAACAAAGTGAAAAAAAAGTGCCGATATTCTATTTTAGCATTTTTGGTTTGGTAACACATCAGTCTGACGCCAAAAAAAAATGTAATTTAAAAAAATTATATAACGTTAGCAGTTCTTTAAGAGCATCTAATCCCCTAAACAAAAACATGTAAAACAATGAAGTTTAGATGTGGTGGCTGCATTCATTTTCTTTTCTTTTTTCCCTTTTTTTTTTTTTTTTTTACCTGGAAACCCTGTGAATAACACACTTCCTGTCCCTTCATATCAACATTCATTTCTCCATTATATCTATGGAGGAAGCTATGATCACGCAGATTGTACTTCAAACATTAAATAATAACAAGAAATGGTAATCTGGGATAAATGCAAAAATGTCCAAAGCACACAATACATAATAATAATCTCTATTTTCATGACAACCTCTTAGGCTGATTAGGATTATTATTATGTATTGTGTTTCAATAAACTTTGGATATTTTTAAATTTCTTGTTTTTCTTTTATTATAATTATTTATTTTGTTTACTCCATTTGGGACACTTGCATCTACACACATTAATGTATTACATTTCGCCCTATGCAGAGTTATTTTTATTGGTGGACTTCAAATATGTAAATCCTTCCCACCCAGCCCAGCAGAGGGCAGGAAGGATCAGCTGATTAGGTGACCACTGGGGAAGTGCTTTGCATGGGTGGCAAAAGGTTAATCTCCATAACAAAATGGATTGATGGTGCTAGTAGTATTATATAATAAGGGCCAGTTCAAACCGGGAATCACGTAGGCACTGTGCATTCCTCTGCGATTCACATGCAGTTCTGTGTGGTGCTATTTCAGCTCATTCATTGTGAATGGGCTGAAATTGCACCGCGCTTTAGAAACTAACTGCAACCGGATCGCATGGTGCTTCTATACCATTCCATCTGATGTGGACAAACGCATTGAGTTTGTGACCTGCACTTGGGGTATCATTACCTTAATATTGAGACCCATTGCAGATTGCAAATGCAGTGTGCTTTAAATGCAGTGCAGGAAACTTGCACAGAACACCAGGTGTGACCTGGTCCTAAAGTTTCTTTGTGCTTTCTTTTAAATTGTTACTGAACCCCGGACCCTGCATTCACTATATCTGGTCTCCCACAGTACACAGAACATGGAAATGCAATTATTTTAGTAAATATAAACTGCTAAATACCTTTTCTCATCAGCAGTTAGAGCAGTCTTGTGACTTCTATCAGTGTCCAGCAGAGCACTGGTTAAAGCTTGTAGGAGGCATTTTCCTTCTCCCCTGATTGTCTGTTGAGGCTGCAGGACCCCAGACCTTCTGTCTGGACAGCACTTATTGGCCCTGTGCTGGTCACAACCACTCTCCCAAGAAATAAAAAAGTTCCTTAGAAATACACACCAAACTGAACATGTGCAGCTTGCCCCCAAGGCTCAGTTCTATCAGTAGATGGATTGGGGACTGTGGAAAAAGGGAAGGATCAGAGAAGACAAGATCTAACAGCCTTTTTACACAATGCAGAGGATTAACCCCTTAGGTTCCACAGTGAGTATAACAAGCACGCTTTACTGCATATACAGACTGATTTTACTGTTGTGGGTTTATTAACACTTTAAGGTCATGTAAAAGTGACTTTTTACATCACATTTCTGCAAAGTCAACAGGTATTTCCTGTACTTGCTGAAAATGTCCATAGCCGAAAAAGAGAAAATGAATGCAGCCACCACATCTAAGAAATGGTCATTTGCAATACATAACATTTTTTTTGGTTTGACTAAACTTTACTCTTCACCTATCAAAATGTTTGTAATATTATTATTATTACTAGTTCATTATGTTAAATGTGTATGATTTCATCCTACATATCCATTATGGCTTTTCTAAAAGCATACAGAATGTATGTGTGTTTGTGAATTTACTGCATGTAAGCTTCTCTAAGCCTGGGTTCACATATATGCGGTGCGATACATCACGTGATTCTCACAGGAACCGCACCTCATTCCTGTGCAAATCACATGCGAATTGCGTGCGGTGCGATCGGAGCCATACATTTTGTGACTCCAATCGCACAGCACCTCTCTAACGCCGAATAATAATAATATTAATCCTTTATTTATGTTTGCAGTTCACTTTAGAATTCTGGCCATCAATGAAGATTACCAACCAGAAAACAGAATAGTAAGTTTTCAAGTTAAAGC